TTATTATCAAAGTTGACCAGAACGCAGCCGTAGTATGCGATAACAGAACATAGTCCGCATAAGCTAGTTATCGCTTCAAACAATAATCCGCGATAATGGATTAGCTCACTCGGCGAATATTTATAAACACCGCTACAGTTTTATTCGGTAAAAGTCGCATTCGAACTACATTTGATCGATTATTACTGACACGCTTTAATAACTACGGAACATTACGCAGTAACACGATAAAGAAACTGTTCCTTTATATATTACTTCTATTATGATTTGCGGTTTGTCCAACAGCATTATAGCTCTCATTGATCTATTTTGTTTGTGTTATAAAAGTTTTTGTTTCGTAATAAATATAGTTTCACTTACCCTGTTCAGAGCGTAATACATCATTTGAATGCGGCAATACTCTGGCAGACATCAAATTATACGGATACACAATAACACCAAGATAAAAAGTCCGAAGACAAAATCGCGATATTAAAACCGAACAATGCACTGTGGGGCACGTGTAAGCATGACAGAAGTATACAACTCAATAACATTAATGCACAACTGACAGCTAACGATAGATTTCAAATTGCAAACTAACGAGTATTAAATAGATCAAGATTCCTTAAAAATGAGAAGTTAGTGCAGTCTAGTTGCGTAACGTTAACCGCAGAAAAATCGTTTTGCCAATGAGTTTCATACTTAAATTGTTATAAATAACCATAATCAGTCTAGATTGTATGATAATGATGGAATATTGATAACAGTAGTGCCTAAGTACATTGTATCCATCAACACTGCAATTTATTTGTTGAGTTAGCTGTTAGGTACAACACGGAGTAACAATATGCACTCCGTGTTTTAGCTTGATAATCGTTTTTGATTACATACTAATCAGTCGCATTCAGATAAAACTATAATACTTATGTCCCAATAATCTGGTATTCCCCTTGGCATATTAGTGGAACTCTTTCAATAGAAATAAATAAATTATCGTAAAGGATAGGTATTCATTACGATTGAGGTCATTGCTGTGTACCTGGAAGCCTGATTAAATGGTTTAACTAAATCTCCGCTTCAATGAATTAACAGAAGTTGTGATTACGACGGCATTATCTTAACCCCTTTTACTTATGCCGTTATGGATAAGCTGTCCAATAATCCTCAATTAATCTGTTTGTCATTGGGCAGGATTATTTCGTGCTAACTATCACAAACAAGTGTATTACATACAAATCATTATCGTCAACAGCATTAGTTCCCATCTACAACTGGAGATCAAGTCCACCCTTCCCAATACCTACAGAAATTATATAAACAACGGTCACAGTTAAAACTGGTTTATAATTTTATCATTTCATATGTCGATTGTTCCTAGAAACAACATTATCAATTTAAGTGCTTTAAATTCTGCAGAAGTGTCGATAAAAACCAGAAGTACATTAATACCGGTGGTTATTGTCACCTGAGCACCGCATTCGTGGTGTAAATGAGAAGTTGGAGACGCCAAAAAACTTATAAGTAACATAACATTACACCTTTTATTCCCTTTTGAGAAATAGAAGGAGGACTGAATTGCACAAATTTAATTGTAACATCCTCTTTTCGCAAATCATGTTATAAGCCCCTTTTAATACAATATAATAAAAATCATTGCTTGCGAGAGATCTAATTTTTCCTAATTTTTCTGAAAGATCTGATTTAAGTCCATGGCTACGGACGGTTACATCCGTCACCACAGGTGACGCTGGAGATTGTAACTTACTTAATAATTCGGGTACCAGACTGTACTCTAAAATCTGCGGAAAAGAAATTATGAAAATTAGTCATCCTTTCAGTAAAATTGGCCCATTTCTGACAAAAGGATTGAAGGACTGAAGAAGCGCAGAAATGATCAAGTTTAGGAAAACACAAGATTATGTTTTCCTACACTAGTTAACTTAATGCTCTTTTGCTCCCCTTTTCCGAGGATTTGAAGTAGGATGCTGATGGTTGAAGCGGCGCTTTGAACTGCTTAATTCCAGTTCTACTGAAGACAGCAAGGGATGGATGTTTAAAGGTAAATTGGGTATAAAAGGTACTGATACAAAATTGATAAAGTCTACAAGGCAGAAGAGTCAAAAAAGACGAACACCTCGATTTGGAACACTAGGTCCCAGAAGACGAATAAAACAGTTTATTTTTTCACAATATAACTATCGATGCCCATGGCACTGTTCTCAAGCTAATCATGTGCCAAGAAAATTATTAGAATTGGTTAGATTATCGCCGTATTACGTCTCCAAGTTGAAGGAAAGTAATTCCAATTAATGCGACTACAGATTGTAATTGGCTATTTAGTCAAGAAATTGTGAATCGATAAATTCAATATTCAATTGTATACAAAGAAGGTAAATTTTCTCATCAGACGATTTTTTGCTCGCAGATCGGTTTCATTGTTTACCTAAAATGATTATTAAGAGAAAGTTTTTCATCCGTGTCATTATTTTTCATCACGGAATAATATTTATTCCAAAATCAATTCTTCTGCAATCTCAGCGCAATGTATCATTAAAACGTACCTGGCGGTTATTAGGTTATCATTAACCTGGCAGTAGCGCAAAAGAACAATCACATTTCATTCTTCATTAGCTCCAAAACCAAGAAACCAACCAATAGAAAATTTAATAGAAACTTTCGTCCCAAACACTTGTAAGTTTTACGTACTATAATATTTTCTAATACTTGTAAGTTTACGGATTATTAATTGATTTCCCCGTGACCAGAAGCGAAGTAATGAGTTTTAAATTAGCAATGTTGACTTGTTTCAATTTCTTCATCGAATAAAAACTGATGATAATTTGTCAAACAAGTCCTGCTGATTAGAATACCAGTACTGGCATCGATTAGAAAAATATCTTACAGATCATTGTTGCTTTTAATTACAATTGTAGTAATTATGGGCTATTTAAAAAGGCCTTCGACATGGTAGCCAGTCAGTCAGTGTTGGCAGACAACGGCTACAAGTACTTACTTTATAGTCTATAATTACGTAGTTTAGTTTAACGGCTTTAAGATTACAATAACGTTAACTGTGTTTGCTTATCTCATCGTTTAAAGTAACCTGTGAACCCATTAAATCCTTTTTAATTCTTGGATCAATATTTGAACATTTGATTTGAGATAGAATAATGGACGTTACTTGTGTGATAAAAACTTCTTTTGATATAAAATTTTATTCTCCCTGGTGTGCCCAAAATGTTTCACACTCAAATTCAAATATTCTTTTTCCATGCGCAAACACCTTGATACATAAATCGACGAATAAATACGTAGACAAATTTTCGGAAAATCCAGCATGCACTAATTACGAATATCACACATCATTTGTATGGATTTCACGCATAAACCAGACGAAATTCCGATAAACTGTAAATCAATGGGTCCCTTCAAAAGGAACTGTGGCTTTAGTCCAGACAACGTTACATCCGACACGACCAATGCTCATTCATACGAAACGACAGTTAAAAACCTCCCTTATCACAAAGAAATAGAGTCCACACTCTGGCATCGTCATTATAAAACTTACATAAATTGCCTGTTATCAGCAAACAAACTAATTTTAATAACAAAAAAGTTAATGACGTTTTTGTTTGGACACAACGTCAATTATTATCAGAAATCCATAAAAGTGGAAAAAAGAAGGATGGATATTATCATAGCGAGAGCTTTAGGTTAAAGTTAATCACAATCACGGTAGTAAAGAAATCGTATAAACGATAACGGCCATTATCAATAACAATAAATTCTCCCTCTTCCACTTTATTTGCAATTATCTCAGATAATTAGTATGATTTTTACTTAATACATTAGGTACTAGACTTAAGATTATTTTGTAATTTCGTTGCACGTGTATAAACATTTTTTCCAATACCTTTTCTTTCCTTCGGGCTTTTAAAAACGGATAGAAATATTCATTATGCACTTTATATCGCTTACCAAATAATTTGTATAATCTTTAAAACTAGTATTTTTACTGTCCATCCCTATAACACTTAACACAAGATACTTTATAACTTCTTCAAAACTAACATCATCCTTTTCATCTTCTTTAATACTTCTTATATATATAATTATTATCATCATCTTTGACAAATGTAACGTAAATGACATTACCTGCTGTTTTTACTCTTCAATTCTTCCGTCTCTTTCTTTTATTATATCTCTTTCCTTCCTTTGATCATATTTTTTAAACCTACCCTATAGTTAAATGATTTTTGACGCAAAAATGTTTAGCAAAGATGTTTAATTTATCTATTCAAATATAAAAGGTTCCTATTACGACCTTGCTGAAAATATCGGCACAGTATCTATTGTCTTAGTACATATATGCAAGTATATAGCAGCGGCTTCATTTCCAATGCTAATGAATATTTGTTATCTAGATGAACTTGGGTTATTGTCTAAGCGTCAATTAGGAATGCTAGGAACACTGATTCACCTTTATTCGCATTTTTTAGTATAGAATAGTATTTTTTTTAGCTTATTTTTATTTTTATTGTACATTATACACACATATATTTTCTAAATCTGCTATTCGTTGCAAGGATGGGTCAAAAATTTTGGATATATCAAGATTATAATCTAATTCTTTAAGAACATGTCATTCTGTTTCCAAATTTTTATCATTTCATATTTAACAATTAATTTCATCAGTGTCTTAGTTATCATCTTTATTAAAATTAGTATTTTCATAACTATATATCTTTACTGTTTTTATTTTAAGACTTATAAAATATTTTCTACGATATATTAAAACGCTGTAAGTTTTAGCGCAACTTGCGAAACTTTTTTGACGGTTTTAAGTTTAATCCCTTAACTACCCGACTTTATTAGCTGATTAATTATTGAACATGTCTAAACATATCCGGACATGACGCTTTAATTATAAAGAAAATAAAATAGTTTACATTTTGACCTGTATTCATTTGTTTAATATTTTAAAACTATCTCAACAAAAATTTTAATTCGGCACTAACCTGAGCTAAATCAGTAGGAGCTTCCGTCTTGACGTTGTTGGCCGCAGCCCACGCCTCAGCAAACGTCTCCATTGCACTCTGAAAGTCCATCTTGTTAATTCACGACGACATCAACATGCCGAAAATTCTCACAACATGTGCACGGTACGGGACAGGCAGACAATGAAGCTGCGACACGTACGAACGGGCCGGCCGGCGGCGCGCGACTGCCGCTGGAGCCCCGCCCAGCGAACCGCCCGCGTCGAGAAAAACCGATACCACCCGAGCCTTCCCGTTTCAGCGCTTTTCTTTTTTAAGCCGCTATTTTAACGAGTTTTTTTTTTCTACCCAAGCCCGGCCCACGGTGGTGGTTGGGCGTCCTCTGGATTATTTACACTTGTAATTCACAGATTGCTTCGTGTGACGGCTAATTTGTTGTTGAGGGGTGTTGCCGCTATCTTGATTAGATTACGCATTATTGAGAGCTACTCGTTTTATTTGTTTGAACATCATTCCTGCTGTTGTTTAATGTTCGATATCGTTGGTTTGTTATCTCTGTACCTCTTTGATTTATCTAGTCGATCGAAGGTAATGCAGGGTATAAATTATGAAGTCATCAATGTAATAACGTAGTAATTTGAAAAGCTATCATTGTGGTTAATTGCAGTATCCTTGTAAAATGGAGGTGAGCGCGCTAGGAAGCATTTTTATTCATTATATAAATCACAGCGGCTTCCCGCCTTTTGGGATGTAAGAAAAAAATTGTCACGGCTCCACATAATTTTGTACGTGGCCATTATTACCTTCCGGGGAAGGTTAATTTTTCTTAATTTCGGATGTTTTAACGACGAAGCTTTTTAAACGTTTAATGTTGATAAGTAGAGATGATCATTTGCTGTAGTGAGTTATGGCTGGTTTGTAATTGGCCTGTTATTATCGCTTCTATATATAAGTGTGGGAGGTGGGTGAGATACGGGTGGGCTACTTTTACAGTTTAGCTGACATAATCACCGTTCGAAGCGCATTATATGGATACTTTCTTTTGGTTATATTTCAAAAGTACCTACTTTGAGACAATTGTTTTTGGCTTAATGAAAATTATATGATAATACCACACCACCATCAAATCCCATTAGAATTTTATAAACACATTTTTGCAAAGCAATTTAAGAAGGCTATCCACAATCCATAGACTGGATTATTTGTTTATTTACAATTTTTTTGGCAAAACAAACATTTGTTTTCGTTTTGAAGATCAGCTGTTGGACATAAAAAATACCCATACAAATAGGCATAAAAGTTGTATTGTATTGACCGATATTGTATGCAGTGAACAAAACAAAGGGATGCTGTTTAACGGGATTATCCTAAGAAAAGTAAATAGATTTAAAGTAAAAGAATGGGACAGTGAAGTTACTGGTGGATACTGGTGTTACCCAAATACAATAACAATTTAGTTTAAGTCAATTGAAGTCTTGCAAAATAATGCTTTGTCATCGTCCCCAACTATTGTGTACATTTTATTATTTTAATTGCTTTTGAATAAAAGATGAATTAGCGTTTAATAGAGGTGTTCTTTTTGAGGTTGCTCTGTCATTAAACAATTTAGCACGAAATAGGAAAACTAAATTTTTTTTAGTCGAGTTATTGGTTCTGTAGAAATGATTTCCAAAGATGTTTTTGGGTTAGACCTCGGTTCGAAATATTTTGGAATTTTAAATAATAGCTGGGTTTGAATTCTGGAATTGCTAATAATAAAGGCTGGCACCTGGAGTTTTTCAAAATTGATTAGCCCCCGTATGTATCTAAAGGGGTACTATTTGACATATTCTAGCATGTTTATACAATTAATAGGTACCTATTGTGAAACATATCGAATCAATTAAATAATCAACTTTACTTTACTTTTGATCGATTACTTATGTTACGGAATTTGTTTATATAAATAACTTGTCCTAGAATTAGTATTATTGTGAGTGCTCCTCTCGCCTGTGATACAGGATATTCTTCCTAGTACAGGCATTAAACCTAGTGTGATCTCTTATTTTAAATTAAGATGTTTATCTGTACTATGACCAATTTCTTATAATGAATAGAGATTTATTTATTATTATTAAGTAATACTTACCTATAGAGTAGCGTAGCTGCGCAATGTTCACCCCGTTGACCGTCGCGGATGCCGCCCGTTATTAAGAGTCCCAGTCATAGCCTGAAACTAATCGAGTAACCATAATTACGTCAGTAAACTGTATTACACAATTTATCCAACGTTTACTGATAAGTACTTAAGTATATAATTTACACTTTCATACACTCGAATACATAAGTAAAGCCTATAGACGTGTGCAAAAATAAAGATATCTATGACGTCGTACCCAACCCGTTACGGTACAGAAATGTCACCAAAAATAGCCTTTTACACGGGACAGTAACAAATGATTTTACCGCATGTCATTTGTCAGTGACTCATTCGTCATCATGTCTAAACCTTGGAAGTTGGAACATACGTCGTGTCATGACGCGAATAGTCAATAACCTGCAAAAATATTGTCAGACAACATATCAATTGAAGACTTCTGTCTTTTTAGCGGGTTCCAGTTCCCAGTTTAGAATAAAACTAATACCAGCTAATAAACATGTAATAAACATTCCATTTTGAACTTTAATGTGATTGTAATAGAAGTTAGTAAGATAATTCGTAACGGTTTATCATTTTTGTAACCAATTTGCAGCTGTAAAGTAAAGAAACAATCGAATTTAAATCTTAAAATAAGAGCGATAGAAGTGTTTAGATTATTATAACGGGTTCTATTCATTAATTTAATCAATATCCAATTTGCGGATTGGAAATCAATTAACATTCGAAATTAAACCTTAACACGATGATCCGAAAGACTAGGTATTTTTTGGGAGTGTTAAAAGGCATTTTCATTGTTTTTCTTGGGATTTGTAACGTCATTTTACACGTGACGGTTGTGTACAAAATCAATTATGTAATATTCTTTATAGATGATGTTTGAGATACTTGTCATAGTAATGTTTTCTTGGCACGAACGAAATTATATGCAAATATAACTTACTAATTTAATTAGAAGGATGAATCTTTGTTTTTACTATATTCGTACTGTACATATTATTATGCAGGGTTATAACGGGGAAAACTCTAAACGTAAAGGCTCAGAGTTCAAGGTTATCACTGTGGGAAAACTTATGAAAAGGAGGAGGAGGAGGAGTTTACTACAAATTTGAAAGACAGACTGGTCTTTTCCTAGTCCATGCGCATAAGAAAATGTACAAGAAACTGCAATCTTCTCGGACTGGCCAATTCAGGAACCACTACTTTGCCCCTATTATGGCTGTAATCTTCTTGGACTGGAATCACTACTTTCCCCCAAGTCTAATATTATAGTACTTTTGTCAACATCATATCAATGACACGCCGTTCACTGCTGAAGATAGGCCTTCCCTAATGACTTCCATCATAATCTAGTTAAAGATATATCACGATAGTTGTAACACAAAAACAAAAAACTTAAATAACAAAGCAATTTCACGTCCCCAATTAATGTTTTTATCACCACATCACAAGGCAATCTTAAGCCTAGTAGCTAATAAAATAATCCAAGGATTACAATACAACAAAAAAATGGATTAAAATTAATCTTTCATTTTGATCGATGAGTTATCGGTACGTAGGTAAGTTAATCCTATAAGCTGTTAATCTGATCCTATTGCGATGTGCATTAAAATAAACAATTATTTATTGTTATCACTCACAATACTGGATAAAGATATGTTTTTCGAAAGATTATAAAATGATAAAGATTCTTTGAACGTTCTTATCGATATAGAAACCAATATTATACAACATTAATCACAAATGTTTTTCCCTGAAGTATTAGGTGCAGTGGTTATCGATAGGTACGTAGTTTTTCTACCGTTATGTAATTAGCCCCATGTTATAAGGAACAAGTTTATTATCAATCGACAACGCAGTGTGCAAGCAACAGAAATCAATAAGGATGATGCCATGGTATGAAAATTAAAAATCTGAAGTCCGTTAGTTATGTAATGAAAAAATATTAGACACGTATTTTTTATTTTGATATATAATAAAATGATACTTAGATATAACGAATCAAAGTTTAGGAGTGGGGGCAAAAACGTCAATTCTACGTATAAAATAAACATAGAAGTGACGTCACGCGATATTTCAAATCAATATATAGTCGAAAGTATTCGTTACTGTAAAAAAAAATAATAAATACATGTCTAATGATTTAAAATTATCTACCAGACGGACATTAAAATAAAAATTAGTCATCTACTCTACTCATGATTTTAAAAGAAGTCCATTAGAAGTGAAGTATGTCTTCGTCGGATATATTTCTATTCCGTGGGATGTTATCAAACGAGGCTCCATAAAACTAAATTTAAGAAGAAGTCTTAAGAGTGCACTTTGATGCTGGTAAGTCAGTCAGATTAAAGTCCCTTATTTTTGCAAGCCCTGTACTTTATGTATATAAGTAACCGATGATACTGCTACCTAAAAATCTCCAACACTACTTATTGTATTGGGAAACATTATAATTATTATAATGTATAAAGAAATTATCCTTAAAGTTGAAAACAATATGGTACGTTACTCGTCCAGCTAAGATGAAGAAGAGCGTAAACCGATTCGAAAACACATAGACTCCATTCTGCACAGGACATTGACGAAAAACCCAATCACAATTTACCCGACCAACGGACTGAAACCTCAACCAAAGAGGCTAGTTATAAATATCCAAAGTTGAAATATATGCCATGAGACCTTGTAATAATGCTTATAAACGTGAAATTGTAACCGTATCTCAAAGTCAAAGCATTTATTCCAATTAGACCATTCACATGCAGTTTGCAAATCAATATTTATTAACAGTTCACATATACACAGTACATTTATTGAGCGGATAATAACGAAATCATATATTTTTATCTCAATTGCATTCGTATTGATATTGATTCTAACTTATTCGTGATTAGGTCATTTTTCGCACTGTGCTGATATTTTATCACCATTAATCATTTTTGTGTTAAAAGTTTTTCTACTGACATAAGTCAATCTT